AATCACGAGATTCCAGGTTTTTGATTGTTTAATATACCGTATAACGGTTTTTATATAGGGTATAACGGTAATCACAAGATTCCAGGTTTTTGATGGTTTAATATACCGTATAACGGTTATTATATAGAATATAACGGTAATCACAAGATTCCAGGTTTTTGATGGTTTAATATACGGTATAACGGTTATTATATAGGGTATAACGGTAATCATGTGATTCCAGGTTTTTGATGGTTTAATATACTGTATAACGGTTATTATATAGGGTATAACGGTTATCACAAGATTCCAGGTTTTTGATTGTTTAATACACTGTATAACGGTTATTATATAGGGTATAACGGTAGTCACAAGATTCCAGGTTTTTGATTGTTTAATACACGGTATAACGGTTATTATATAGGGTATAACAGTAATTACTATATTCCATCATGTTTTTCATGTATCAACATGGGGTTTTGCCGTAAGTATAAGGTTCCACGTTTTTCAGTGTTTGATATACTGTATAACAGTAATTACAAGGTTCCAGGTTTTCTAGGGCTTGACATAGTGTATCTTAATAATACCAAGGACCAAGGTTTTCGGAATTTAATGTAGAGTATAACAGTAATTACAAGGTTCTAGGTTTTCTCAGGGATTTATATAGGGTATAACAGTAATCACAAGCGTCCAGATTTTTCATGGTTTTATATAGGGTATAACAATAATTATAAGTTCCTGGTTTCTCAGGACTTTACGTAGAAATGTCAATAATAAAATGTTTTTAGATTTTTCAGGCTTGGATATGGGATATAGCCGTAATTACAAGGTTCCAGGAATAACATTGTTTCAGGTTTTTCAGGATTTGATTTAGGCTCAAACAGTATTCACAAAGTTCCACGTTTTTCAGGGTTTGATACAGGGTATAGCTGTAATCACAAGGTTTATAGACTTTTCATTGTTTGATATAGGATATAACAATAATAACATGGTTTGATAGTTTTCGGGAGTTGATATCTGGTATTATAGTAATAACAAGGTTCCATGTTTTTCAGGCTTTGATATGGGATCTTACCCTGTTTACAAAGTTCCATGTTTTTCAGGGTTTGAACTGTAATCACAACGTTTATAGACTTTTCATTGCTTGATGTAGGATATTACAGTAATAACAGGGTTTCAGATTAATCATTGTTTGATATAGGGTATAACCGTAATAACAATGTTCCTGTTGTTCAGGCTATGATATAGGGTATAACAATAATGACACGATTCCAGATTTTTCTGTGTTTGATATAGTGTATAACAGTAATTATAAGGTTCCATGTTTTTCAGCGCTTGATAGAGGGTATAACAGTAATCATAAGGTTTTAGAATATTCATTGTTTGATATAGGATATAACAATAATATCAAGATTCCATATTTATTGGGATTTGATGTATGATATTACAGTAATATGAAGGTTCAAGGTTTCTTGTTTCTTGACATAGTGTATGTCAGTAATAACATGGTTCTACGTTTTCAGGATTTGATATAGGGTAGTATAGTAATTACAAGATTCCACGTTTTCCACTGATTGACAGTGTATGTCAGTAATAACATGGTTCCATGTTTTCAGGATTTGATATAGGGTAGTATAGTAATTACAAGATTCCACGTTTTCCACTGATTGACAGTGTATGTCAGTTATAACAGGGTTCTAGGTTTTTCAGCATTTGATATAGAGTTTAACATTAATAAAAGGATTCCCGGTTTTTCGGGGTTTGATATAGGGTATGAAAGTAAACACAATGTTCCAGATTTTTCAGGCTTTGATAGAGTGTATAACAGTAACCAAAAGGTTTCAGAATGTTCAGCGTTAGATATAGGGTATAATAGTAATTATTAGGTTCCAGGTTTTCAAGAGCTTAACATAGGGCATATTAGTAACAAAAATATTCCAGATTTTCATTGTTTGGTACAGGATATATCAGTAAACACAATGTTTCAGGTTTTCATGGTTTCATGCATGATATAACAGTAATTATAAAGTTCTCGGTTTTCAGTAACTTCATATTGGGTACGTTAGTAATAAAAAGGTTCCAGATTTTCATTGTTTGATACAAGATATATCAGTAAACACAATGTTTCAGGTTTTGGTATAGGGTATAACAACAATTATAAGGTTCCAGAATGTTCAGGCTTTCATAAACGATATAATAGTAATCACAAGGTTTCGGGTTTTCATGGATTCATACATGATATAACAGTTCAGGAACTTCATATTGGGTATGTTAGTAATAAAAAGGTTCCATATTTTTCAGGATTTGATGTAGGATAAAACCGTAATTACTAGGTTACAGGTTTTTCAAGGATTCACATACGTATAATAGTAACGATAACCCTGATTTTTCAGTGTTTGATATAGAGTATAACAGTAATTATAAGGTTCCCGGTTTTCAGTAACTTCATATTGGGTACGTTAGCAATAAAAAGGTTCCAAGTTTTTCATGATTTAATATAGGGTATAACAGTAAGAACAAGGTTCCAGGTTTTCAGGGTTTGATATGTAGTATAAAAGTAATTAAATGTTTCAAGGTTTTTAGGGTCTCAGATAGAATATATCAGTAATAAAAGGGTACTAGGCTTTCAGGAATTGATACAGGATATAATAGTAATTATAAGTTTCCATGTTTTAAAGGCTTGGTATAGGGTATGTCAGTAATGACAGGGCTCCAGATTTCTTAGGGTTTGACATAGGGTATAACAGTAATCACAAGGCTGCATGTTTTTGAAGGTTTGATGTTGAGTATAACAGTTATAACACGGTTCTCGGTTTCTCACGGTTTAACTTAGGGTATAACAGTAAAAAGAGGTTTCTAAGTTTTCAGGGTTTGATATAGGGTATTTACCATTTTCCAGCACTTTCCAGCTCGATCGGTGAACACTAACTCCACTTTAAGGAATATGACGATGAATTTGGCACGGTAATTTCAAATATTAGTTTGAAATCATCAGGGTATTATAGAACAATGGTTAGCATAAATTGTGTAGAAGCAGTTTTTGTGGTTGGTTTCTCTGTTCTGCCACTGTAGAAGTTGTTCCTTGTGGCTGGTTTCCCTGTTTTACCAGTGTAAAAGTAGTTCCTTGTTGTTGGTTTCTTTCTTTTGCCAGTGTAGAAGTTCCTTGTGGTTGGTTTCTCTGTTTTGCCAGTGTAGAAATAGTTCCTTATGGTTGTTTTCTCTATTTTGCCAGTGTAGAAGAAGTTCCTTATGGTTGGTTTCTCTGTTTTACCAGTGTATAAGTTGTTATTTGTGGTTGGTTTGTCTGTTTTACCAATGTAGAAGTAGTTCCTTGTCGCTGGTTTATCTGTTTTACCACTGTAAAAGTAGTTCGTTATGGTTGGTTTCTCTGTTTTGCAAGTGTAGAAATAGCTACTTGTGATTCGTTTCTCTGTTTTGCCAGTGTAGAGGTAGTTCTTTGTGGCTGGTTTCTCTGTTTTAACAGTGTAAAAGTAGTTCCTTGTGGTTGATTTCTCTGTTTTTCTAGTATAGAAATAGTTCTTTGTGGTTGGTTTCTCTGTTTTTCCAGTGTAGAAATAGTTAGTTGTGGCTGGTTTCTTTCCTTTATCAGTATAGAAGTAGTTCCTTGTGGTTGGTTTCATTATTTTGCCAGTGTAGAAGTAGTTCTTTATGGTTGGTTTTTTCTGTTTTACCAGTGTATAAGTTGTTATTTGTGGTTGGTTTTTTCTGTTTTACCAGTGTATAAGTTGTTATTTGTGGTTGGTTTCTCTGTTTTTCTAATGTAGAAATAGTTCTTTGTGGTTGGTTTCTCTGTTTTTCCAATGTAGAAATAGTTAGTTGTGGTTGATTTCTCTGTTTTACCAGTGTATAAGTTATTTGTGGTTGGTTTCTCTGTTTTACCAGTGTATAAGTTGTTATTTGTGGTTGGTTTCTCTGTTTTTCTAATATAGAAATAGTTAGTTGTGGCTGGTTTCTCTATTTTGCCAGTGTAGAAGAAGTTCCTTGTGGTTGATTTCTCTGTTTTAATAGTGTGGAGGTTGTTCCATGTGGTTGGTTTCTCTGTTTTACCAATAAAGAAGTTATTCCTTCTGGTTGGTTTCTCAGTTTTGTCAGTATAGAAATAGTTCCTTGTGGTTGGTTTGTCTGTTTTGCCAGTGTAGAAGTAGGTCCTTGTGGTTGGTTTTTCTGTTTTAACAGTGTAGAAATAGTACCTTGTGGCTGGTTTCTCTATTTTGCCATTGTAGAAATAGTTCCTTGTGGCTGGTTTTTCTGTTTTGCCTGTGTAGAAGTAGGTTCTTGTGGTTGGTTTCTCTGTTTTACAAGTGTAGAAGTAGGTCCTTGTGGTTTGTTTCTCTGTTTTGCAAGTGTAGAAGTCTTTCCTTGTGGCTGGTTTCTCTGTTTTGCAAGTGAAGAAGTCTTTCCTTGTGGTTGGTTTCTCTGTTTTGCAAGTGTAGAAGTAGGTCCTTGTGGTTTGTTTCTCTGTTTTGCAAGTGTAGCAGTCTTTCCTTGTGGTTTGTTTCTCTGTTTTGCAAGTGTAGAAGTCTTTCCCTGTATTGGTTTGTCTGTTTTGCAAGTGTAGAAGTCTTTCCTTGTGGTTGGTTTCTCTGTTTTGCAAGTGTAGAAGTCTTTCCCTGTCGTTGGTTTCTCTGTTTTGCAAGTGTAGCAGTCTTTCCTTGTGGTTTGTTTCTCTGTTTTGCAAGTGTAGAATTCTTTCCCTGTCGTTGGTTTGTCTGTTTTGCAAGTGTAGAAGTCTTTCCTTGTGGTTTGTTTCTCTGTTTTGAAAGTGTAGAAGTAGGTCCTTGTGGTTTGTTTCTCTGTTTTGCAAGTGTAGAAGTAGGTCCTTGTGTTGGTTTCTCTGTTTTGCAAGTGTAGAAGTAGGTCCTTGTGGTTTGTTTCTCTGTTTTGCAAGTGTAGAAGTAGTTCCTTGTGGTAAAATAATAACTTTAACAAACGTATTCAATAGTCAGTAGTATTGGTAATTAGGTACAGTTACTTAGATCAATTATACGTAGAATATATGCTATTAGAAAATAACAAAATCCCGAAATATATTGCAGTTAATGATATGAGGAATAAGTATTTAAAGTAATAATGAAGCAGATTTCTTTAGATAAGACGACGAGGTAAAATATTTATTAAACCTTTAATATTAAGTGATTGTGTTATATATAAGCTACGTACCAAGGTTTCACGTGTTTTGAAAAATAAATCGTCTTTTTCACAGATGTGTTCATAGTAATATAGGTGGCGCCCTTTCATTCCGTCTACCACATGAGTGAATAAAATAAATAATCTATTCCAAAGCTGTATCTTTGAACTTTAATACAACCTCTAAATATCTGAACAAGGACGCTAGATTTCCGTAGTGAAATGTATAGAAATCAACTTTACTAAATAAAGGTCCTTCATCTTGTGTCAATTTGTTGCCAAGCAACGTGGAACTTAACTAGTGAGCTACTACATGCTCAGCTGTCAAGTTTCTCTAAATACTCCGTTTCATATTGGTCACAAGAAACAAAAAAGAAATCGTTCTTATTTTCGTTAGTTATGTTACAATAATGTGAGTGAATAATCACCATATAAACAAGATATTTTAAACATCAACAATATTTTAGTAAAACAAGTACCACAGCTTTCCTTCCAGCAATCACAGTTCAGGCTAGCTTTCCGTTTAACACAAGTACCACAGCTTTCCTTTCAGCGATCACAGTTCAGGCTAGCTTTCCGTTTAACACAAGTACCACAGCTTTCCTTCCAGCAATCCCAGTTCAGGCTAGCTTTCCGTTTAACACAAGTACCACAGCTTAACTTCCAGCAATCAGAGTTCAGGCTAGCTTTCCGTTTAACACAAGTACCACTGCTTTCCTTCCAGCAATCACAGTTCAGGCTAGATTTCCGTTTAACACAAGTACCCCTGCTTTCCTTCCAGCAATCACAGTTCAGGCTAGCTTTCCGTTTAACACAAGTACCACAGCTTTCCTTCCAGCAATCACAGTTCAGGCTAGCTTTCCGTTTAAGACAAGTACCAAAGCTTATTACATTTTTCCTTCCGTATACCGTTATTATATCTCTCCTTCCATGAATTGTGGTTACAGCCTTCCGGCTACCGTTATTACATTTTTCCTTCCGTCTACCGTTATTATATCTCTCCTTCCATG